GAGTTGAAAGTCTGTGTTGTCCAGCGACAGCCCCAAAACATCACTGCTCTAGAGGAGATCTGCATGGAGGAATGGGCCAAAATACCAGCAACAGTGTGTGAAAACCTTGTGAAGACTTACAGAAAACGTTTGACGTGTGTCATTGCCAACAAAGGGTATATAACAAAGTATTGAGAAACGTTTGTTATTGACCAAATACTTATTTTCCACCATAATTTGCAAATAAATTCATTAAAAATCCTACAATGTGATTTTCTGGATTTTTTTTTCTCATTTTGTAGTTGACGTGTACCTATGATGAAAATTACAGGCCTCTCTCATCTTTTTAAGTGGGAGAACTTGCACAATTGGTGGCTGACTAAATACTTTTTTCCCCCACTGTAAATAGGCCGTTTAATTTTGTCTGGCTTGCTGTTCCAAATAAAATGGAATCTTTTTTTCTCATTTAATTTTAAAGAACTGTTCGCTAGGCGTAGGCAAGACCATGAGCAAATAGATAAACTGGGATAATACTAAAGAGTTAATCAGGGTGATTTTTCCACAAATTGACAGGTACCTTTCCATGGTAGCAAGATCTTATCTATTTTTGCAAACTTTCTATTAAAATGTATTGGAGTGAGATCATTTCTTTCTTTTGGGATATGTATTCTGAGTATATCCACATCACCATCAGACCATTTTATTGGTAAACTACATGGTAATGTAAAAATTGTATTTTTTTGTGATCCAATACGTAATATAGTACATTTGTCATAATTTGGTTGTAATCCAGAGAGGTTAGAAAATGTATCTAGATCCTCTATGGGGCTGTGGAGGGATTCAAGTTGTGGATTTAAAAGAAAACATGAATAATCAGCGTACAATGACACCTTTTGTTTTTAAGCCCTGGATTTCTAATCCCTTGATATTATTGTTGGATCTGATTTGAATAGCTAACATCTCGATGGCCATAATAAATAGATATGCCGATAGTGGACAACCTTGTTTTACTCCTCTTGACAGTTTAAAACTTTCTGAGAAATAGCCATTATTTACTATTTTACACCTAGGGTTACTATACATGATTTTGACCCATTTTATAAGAGATTCTCCAACATTGAAATGCTCCAGGCATTTATATATAAACCCCAGTCATACTTTATCAAATGCCTTTTCGAAGTGGAGATGGGAGAACCTTCCAGAAGGACAACCATCTCTGCAGCACTCCACCAATCAGGCTTTTATGGTAGAGTGGCCAGACGGAAGCCACTCCTCAGTAAAAATCACATGACCGCCCGCTTGGAGTTTGCCAAAGGATACCTAAAGGACTCTCAGATCATGAGAAACAAGATTCTCTGGTCTGATGAAACCAAGATTGAACTCTTTGGCCTGAATTTCACGTCTGGAGGAAACCTGGCACCATCCCTACGGTGAAGCATGGTGGTGGCAGCATCATGCTGTGGGGATGTTTTTCAGGGACTGGGAGACTAGTCAGGATCGAGGGAAAGATGAATGGAGCAAAGTACAGAGAGATCATTGATGAAAACCTGCTCCAGAGCGCTCAGGACCTCAGACTGGGGTGAAGGTTCACCTTCCAACAGGACAACGACCCTAAGCACCCAGCCAAGACAATTCATGAGTGGCTTCGGGACAAGTCTCTGAATGTCCTTGAGTGGCCCAGCCAGAGCCCGGACTTGAACCCGATCTAACATCTCTGGAGAGACCTGAAAATAGCTGTGCAGCTACGCTCCCCATCCAACCTGACAGAGCTTGAGGGGTTCTGCAGAGAAGAATGGGAGAAACTCCCCAAATGGTGTGCCAAGCTTGTAGCGTCATATCCAAGAAGACTCGAGGCTGTAATCGCTGCCAAAAGTGCTTCAACAAAGTACTGAGTAAAAGGTCTGAATACTTATGTAAATGTGACATCTACGTTTTTTAAAATTTTATTAGCAAGAAATTATAAACTTGTTATTGCTTTTACATTATGTTGAATTATGTGTAGATTGATGAGGGGGAAAAAACAATTGAATCCATTTTAGAATAAGGCTGTAACGTAACCAAATGTGGAAAAAGTAATGGGGTCTGAATACCTTCCTGTAGTGCACTACTTTTGACCAAAGCTCTATGGGTGCTTTCAGACGCAGCCTATCTCTTACTGGAAGGCCTACTAAAATACTTTAAACTGGCCACGCTGTGCATGTGTTGAAAGGTGACATCTTAGTCTGATGTCCTCCAACTATCACCTGTCTATGGTGAGCTGTTTCAGACCGTTGAAATACCAAAACTAAGCCATAACCTTTCTAAACCATCTCTGAAATAGCTTGACCGTCTCTCTCTCTTAAGCTTACTTGACCGTCCCTGAGGATCTATCCTGAATTCACACATTGTTGTGCTGCAGAGGATCCCATCCAATAATACTCTCCCTCCCCTGTGTGTTCTAGTCTGTGTCCCAAATGGCACACGAGTCCCTACTGTTGACTAGAGCCCTATGGGCCCCGGTTAAAGAAAGTAGTGCACTAGATAGGGAATAGGGTAACATTTGGGATGCAGTCCTGGTCTATCTCTGTGCCACAGTTATTCTTCCTGTCACACTAGAGGCCAAGACGGATCACATCAATCCAACAGGACAGGCCCATTTTAAAATACTTTCCTACATTTCAACAACATCCCCCAACCTTGTTCTTGAACTCCCACAATGTTGTCACATTTGAGGAGTGACACATTAATAAACTCAAAAAAAAAAAAAACGGTTCTGAACTCTACGCTAAACTCCTGAACTCTACAATAGGGAAGGAAGGGTTAATGAAAGACCTCTGTCTTGGTGTTACAGAAACAAAGTATTCCACAGATAATGTCCAATCAATAAACTTAGTTTGTTGAACAGTAAGCTATAATAAATATTGTGTTATTACAAAAGGACAGTGTGCTATTTTAGGACAGTGTGTATTTTATTGTTGATTGGATGTGTCAACGATGAAGAGTAGAGAAGGCTCTTGACCCACTTCAGTTTAGATCCGTCCAAGTGTTTTCTAGAGGTAATGGGCGCTCACACACTTTAGTTTCTTCAGACTGAAGTGTTTTCTAGAGCTATTGGATCCTTCAGTTTCCCACCCGGCTCTGGCTGAGTTCCTAACGTCATACTTAACGTGTTTTAGAATGACAGAGCTGTTTATAACAATAAACCTCACGGCCTTTACAACGAAAAATAGATCCTCCACACTTCCTTTCCTTTGCTCATTTCATCAGCCTTACCGTCCGACTAAAGCAACATTGGTATTAAGGCAGCACACCATTTTTCTTCTTTTTACACCCTAATGTGGTTGCAATGAAAGGCTGTTAACTTTTTTTTATTTTTCATGGCAACGCTATTTACGCCTTTACAGAGAAATATGTAGCTAACATATCTCACCATTTATGGAGAAATATGTAACTAGCATATCTCACTATTTACGGAGAAATATGTAACTAGCATATCTCACTATTTACGGAGAAATATGTAGCTAGCATATCTCACTATTTACGGAGAAATATGTAGCTAGCATATCTCACTATTTACGGAGAAATATGTAGCTAGCATATCTCACTCGTTATTTATTTACACTCCAAGCATAACGACTGGCTGGGTTATTGTGGCTCTACAAGACACACTTCATGAACACGTCTTCATTTTTTTCTGGTTAGAGATAACCTGCAGCTTGTCGTGTGCTATCGTCTGTAAATCGCGCGCGTGTGTGTGTGTGTGTGCGTGTGTGCGTGTGTGTGTGTGCGCGTGTGTCTCCTCTGAGTGAACAAACATTCTCATTCAGATAGTTGTTTACTTTTGGCGGTCTCATTAGTGCATAACAGACAGTCTGCCAATCAGAAGTGGCTTCCTCACCCGGCCTGTGTTGACACATATTTGTATGTAATCTGACCGGAGGCCATCAGAGCTGTGGATTATGAAGGGATTTGATACCATGGTTGCACTCTAGTTTGTTTTGTTGCCTAACCTTTTCAACAGACACCTTCAGAACAGAAGGGCTGCTTAGGGTTGGCACCTCTTCTTACAGGCTGCTGTCTCTCTGTCTGTGCCCCTATGAGCTCTGGTCAAAAGTAGTGCTCTATATAGGGATTAGGGTGCCATTCTGGACAGGCCCTCTGTCCTATGTGTCCGTTTGAATTCCGTGTCTCTGTCCTATGTCTCTTCTCTGTATTCCTGTGAAGGACAGAGTGATCGATGATGGTGCTTTATACATAAAGCAGAGCTGGCTTCGGCTTCGGCGGTCTACTCTGCAGCATCATGGATTATAAATAGACCGGGACCAGAGAAAAGAGGGGTCAGACTCACGATGCTCTGCTCATTGGTCCGTATTCAGACTCACGATGCTCTGCTCATTGGTCCGTATTCAGAAAAGCGTCTCAGAGTAGGAGTGCTGATCTTGGATGAGTTTTGCCTTTTTAGATCTCAATTAATAAGATTATATGGACGGGGGGGGGGGGGGGGACCTGATTCTAAATCAGCACGCTTTGTGAATAAGGGCCATTGCTTGCTCCCTCAGACCAGGACCCCCCTCCCCCCTCCTCATCAGACTTTGTCCAATAGAGGGAGAGGGAAAACCTGGCTCAGGTCCCAAGTTAAAATAAACATCTTCAAGTATTTTCTGAGCCCTTCATTCATGAGCTTGCTGTTTTTAGACTGAGTTGAAGCATTAAGGAAGAGTTGGCTCCGAGTCAGACCACAGTCAGACCACACACTACAGCATGTTATTGGAGGATCACACACACACACAGTCAGACAGCACGCTGCTGCAGGATACACAGGACAGGGCTTCTTCATCACAGGGATCGTCCATGTACAAAGTGCACACACACACACACACACACACACACACACACACACACACACACACACACACACACACACACACACACACACACACAGTTTTCTGGATTTTTTTTTATCTTTCTCCAAATGGTTATAGGTTACTGTTGGATATAATTGTCTCAACAGTGATGTCATGAATCGTTTTTTTTTTTTCCAGTCGCAATGACATCATTCTAGTCGTGGGAGAGTTTCAGCATAGTGTATCTGTAATCGGTGACATCATCACTCTGCTCAGCCTGTCTAATGTTTAGGAGTCTGAAATGATGTGTCACTGTCTCATGTCTGTCATGAAATTGTGTAGAAGTCTAGAATTAAGTGGGTCTGAAATTGTGTGTGTGTGTGTGTGTGTGTTTGTGAGTCAGTGCATCTGTGTGAGATAAGACCGATCAAGTTTGAATGTCACATGCACAATTACAGTGAAATGCCTTCACTGCAAACTCAAAACCCAACAATGCAATAATCAATAACAATGTATTACTAGAAAAAACACAGGATAAATAAGAAAAAATATGAAGAACACAATAAGTAAGTAAGCAAGCAAGCATATTATATACAGGGTCAGTTCCAATACCATACTATATACAGGGTCAGTTCAATACCATACTATATACAGGGTCAGTTCCAATACCATACTATATACAGGGTCAGTTCCAATACCATACTATAGACAGGGTCAGTTCCAATACCATACTATATACAGGGTCAGTTCAATACCATACTATATACAGGGTCAGTTCAATACCATACTATATACAGGGTCAGTTCAATACCATACTATATACAGGGTCTGTTCCAATACCATACTATATACAGGGTCAGTTCAATACCGTACTATATACAGGGTCAGTTCAATACCATACTATATACAGGGTCAGTTCAATACCATACTATATACAGGGTCAGTTCTAATACCATACTATATACAGGGTCAGTTCAATACCATATTAACAATGTGCAGGGATACTGGAGTGATGGAGGTAGATATGTATAGGGGTCAGGTGACTATATACAGGGTCAGTTCTATACCATATTAACAATGTGCAGGGATACTGGAGTGATGGAGGAAGATATGTATAGGGGTCAGGTGACTATATACAGGGTCAGTTCAATACCATATTAACAATGTGCAGGGATACTGGAGTGATGGAGGTAGATATGTATAGGGGTAAGGTGACTATATACAGGGTCAGTTCCAGTACCATATTAACAATGTGCAGGGATACTGGAGTGATAGAGGTAGATATGTATAGGGGTCAGGTGACTATATACAGGGTCAGTTCTAATACCATACTATATACAGGGTCAGTTCAATACCATACTATATACAGGGTCAGTCCAATACCATACTATATACAGGGTCAGTTCCAATACCATACTATATACAGGGTCAGTTCAATACCATACTATATACAGGGTCAGTTCAATACCATACTATATACAGGGTCAGTTCCAATACCATACTATATACAGGGTCAGTTCCAATACCATACTATATACAGGGTCAGTTCAATACCATACTATATACAGGGTCAGTTCAATACCATACTATATACAGGGTCAGTTCAATACCATACTATATACAGGGTCAGTTCCAATACCATACTATAGACAGGGTCAGTTCAATACCATACTATATACAGGGTCAGTTCAATACCATACTATATACAGGGTCAGTTCTATACCATATTAACAATGTGCAGGGATACTGGAGTGATGGAGGAAGATATGTATAGGGGTCAGGTGACTATATACAGGGTCAGTTCAATACCATATTAACAATGTGCAGGGATACTGGAGTGATGGAGGTAGATATGTATAGGGGTAAGGTGACTATATACAGGGTCAGTTCCAGTACCATATTAACAATGTGCAGGGATACTGGAGTGATAGAGGTAGATATGTATAGGGGTCAGGTGACTATATACAGGGTCAGTTCCAGTACCATATTAACAATGTGCAGGGATACTGGAGTGATGGAGGTAGATATGTATAGGGGTAAGGTGACTATATACAGGGTCAGTTCCAGTACCATATTAACAATGTGCAGGGATACTGGAGTGATGGAGGTAGATATGTAAAGGGTTCAGGTGACTAGTCAACAGGATATAAGATAAACAGAGTAGCAGCAGCTTGTATGTGAGGGGGTGTGTGGGTGTGTAGAGTCAGTATAAATGTATGTGCATATCATGTGTGAGTGATCAGATGATGGAGTGTGTGTGTGTGTGTGCGAGTGTGTACGGCCCTGTGAGTGTGCATTCGATCAGAGTCTTGAGTGTGTTTCTATATGATGTGATTCAATGACCTGCCACTGGCATTAAAGAAAGCCTGTGTGTCCATGTATGCTGATGATTCAACCATATACGCATCAGCAACCACAGCTAATGAAGTCACTGAAACCCTTAACAAAGAGTTGCAGTCTGTTTTGGAATGGGATGCCACTAATAAACTGGTCCTGAACATCTCTAAAACTAAGAGCATTGTATTTGGTACAAATCATTCCCTAAGTTCTAGACCTCAGCTGAATCTGTTAATGAATGGTGTGGCTGTTGAAGAAGTTGAGGAGACTAAATTACTTGGTGTTACCTTAGATTGTAAACTGTCATGGTCAAAACATAAAGATTCAATGGCTTTAAAGATGGGGAGAGGTCTGTCCTTAATACAGAGATGCTCTGCTTTTTTGACACCACACTCCACAGAGCAAGTTCTGCAGTTTCTAGTTTTATCTTATCTTGATTATTGTCCAGTCGTGTGGTCAAATGCTGCAAAGAAAGACCTAGTTAAGCTGCAGCTGGCTCCAGAACAAATTCAAGAAAACGTACAGTATTATACAGAGCCATGAGTGCATGGAACTCCCGTCCATCTTATAAGTGAGTGAACAGCAAACCCGGTTTCAAAAGACAGGTTTAGATAAATAAATAAAGCAACACCTCACGGCAGAACGCCTCTCCCCCATGTGACCTACTCGTTGTGTGTATGTACTGACATGTATGTGGAACTGATAGATGCACACACACTACATGTTTATGTTTTGAACTGTATGTAAATTGTAAAGTATTTTGTCTGTAATGTATTTTTCATTATGTGTCAGTAAGTGACCCCAGTAAGACTAGCTGTCTGCATTGGCGTTGGCTAACGGGGATCCTAATAAATCAAATCAAATGTGTTTCTATAGGATGCGTTTCTATATATTTATATATGATGCGTTTCTATATGATGCGTTTCTATATATTTCTATATGATGCGTTTCTAATATGATGTGTTTCTATATGATTATTAGTTCAGGATACAGGCTCTGAGGCTCAGGTCTGTGTCCATTGAGTGTTTCCCTCCTTGTATTCCTTGTCTAATCATTGTCCTCCTTCTCTCTCTCCAGATGGAACAGCAGTGGTCAGCAGCTCCAGTGGTGAAGGGTGCAGCGTGTCTGTCATGTAAAGGGATCTGCTCTGGATTCCTCCCACATTCCTGGAGGTAATTTATCCCCAACGTTAAACACACACAACGTATGCACATACATGCGCGCGCGCGCACACACACACACACACACACACACACACACACACACACACACACACACACACACACACACACACACACACACACACACACACACACAACGGTGGCGTAAAGCAGGATGGTTTCCTTAGTTTTCCTAGTTCCCCTTCTTCCTTAGTTTTCCTAGTTCCCCTTCTTCCTTAGTTTTCCTAGTTCCCCTTCTTCCTTCATTTTCCTAGTTCCCCTTCTTCCTTCGTTTTCCTAGTTCCCCTTAGTTTTCCCCTGACGATTCTGGAATGTTTTGCTCCTTTTGCATGAATCAGTTTATTTTCCAAAGCTTGTGAACATGACTTGTCCTAACCTATGTCTTCAACCTAGGCCAGGGGTATTGAAATCCTACCCTACGAGGTCCGGAGCACTGCTGGTTTTCTGTTGTACCTGATAATTAATTGCAGCCACCTGGTGTCCCAGGTCTAAATCAGTCCCTGATTTAGAGAGGAACAATGAACAGAAACAGATTTTAAATTGGAGGGATCAAGTAGATCCTTAAGTTGCTGGTTCTGATCGAATGACCAATCAGGACCAACACAGAACAGAGCACACACACCCATCACAAAGAGTGGAAGTGTTTTGTACAAGAATATATGTCAGCTATTCTGTATCACCTGTTCTGCCCTGCTCTGTCCTGTTCTGCCCTTCTCTGCTCTGTTCTGCCCTGATCTGTTCTGCCTTGCCCTGCTCTGCCCTCTTCTGCCCTGCTCTGTTCTGCTCTGCTCTCTGCCTTGCTCTGTTCTGCCTTGCCCTGCTCTGCCCTCTTCTGCCCTGCTCTGTTCTGCTCTGCTCTCTGCCTTGCTCTGTTCTGCCTTGCCCTACTCTGTTCTCTTCCGCTCTGTTCTGTTCTGCCCCCCCCCCCCCCCCCCCCCCAATCAGGAAAGCATGCAGGGTGTCCAGACCTGGAGGACCGCTCTGCCGTGCTCCGCTCTGCCGTGCTCCGCTCTGCCGTGCTCCGCTCTGCCTTTATATGAAACTACTTCTCTGCCTCCAGGAAAGCCTGTACCCAGTGTGGCTGCAGTGTGGAGGATCACGGTCCCAGCTCAGACCTAGAGGACGATCACAAGATGGGTCGTCTCCTCGCCGACTCCAAATACGTCCACCTGACAGCCAAGGTGATCTTTGATTTGATGCATTTGCCCATCAAAAATAAATTCAGCCATTTCAAGTGATACACTGCATTTCAAATCTTTACATTTTAGTCATTTAGCAGACACTCTTATCCAGAGCGACTTAGTTAGTGAATGCATACATTTTCATACTGGCCCCCCGTGGGAATCGAACCCACAACCCTGGCGTTGCAAACGCCATGCTCTACCAACTGAGCTACACAGGTATTTCAAGGATATTTCAAGTTATTTGGCCAGGCAGGTATCCCTCGTAAAAGAGGTCTTCTGATGTCAATGGGACTAAATCAAGGATAGATAAATAAATAAATAAATAAATATATTTTATTGGATAAAATAGAGAGACACGAAAGATAGGAGAGAGTTGCTGAAATACAGTGGCTTGCGAAAGTATTCACCCCCCTTGGTATTTTTCCTATTTTGTTGCCTTACAACTTGGAATTAAAATAGATTTTTGGGAGGTTTGTACCATTTGATTTGCACAACATGCCTACCACTTTGAAGGTGCAAAATATTATTTATTGTGAAACAAAAAAGAAATAAGACAAAAAAACAGACCTTGAGCATGCATAACTATTCCCCCCCCCCCCCCCCCCCCACCCCCCCAAAGTCAATACTTTGTAGAGCCACCTTTTGTAGCAATTACAGATGAAAGTCTCTTGGGGTATGTCTCTATAAGCTTAGCACATTTAGCCACTGGGATTTTTATCCATTCTTCAAGGCAAAACTGCTCCAGCTCCTACAAGTTGGATGGGTTCCGCTGGTGTACAGCGATCTTTAAATCATACCACATATTCTCAATTGGATTGAGGTCTGGGCTTTGACTAGGCCATTCCAAGACATTTAAATGTTTCCCCTTAAACTATTTGAGTGTTGCTTTAGCAGTATGCTTAGGATCATTGTCCTGCTGAAAGGTGAACCTCCGTCCCAGTCTCAAATCTCTGGGAGACTGAAACAGGTTTCCCTCAAGAATTTCCCTGTATTTAGCGCCATCCATCATTCCTTCAATTCTGACCAGTTTCCCAGTCCGTGCCGATGGAAAAACATCCCAAAAGCACGATGCTGCCACCACCATGCTTCAATGTGGGGATGGTGTTCTCGGGGTGATGAGAGGTGTTTGGTTTGAGCCAGACATAGCGTTTCCTTGATGGCCAAAAAGCTAAATTTTAGTCTTATCTGACCAGAGTACCTTCTTCCATATGTTTGGGGAGTCTCCCACATGCCTTTTGGTGAACACCAAACGTGTTTTTTTCTTTTTTTCTTTAAGCAATTACTTTTTTCTGCCCACTCTTCCGTAAAGCCCAGCTCTGTGGAGTGTACGGCTTAAAGTGGTCCTATGGACAGATACTCCAATCTCCGCTGTGGAGCTTTGCAGCTCCTTCAGGGTTATCTTTGGTCTCTTTGTTGCCTCTCTGATTAATGCCCTCCTTGCCTGGTCCGTGAGTTTTGGTGGGCGGCCCTCTCTTGGCAGGTTTGTTGTGGTGCCATATTCTTTCAATTTTTTAATAATAGATTAAATGGTGCTCCGTGGGATTTTCATAGTTTCGTATATTTTTTTATAACCCAACCCTGGTCTGTACTTCTCCACAACTTTGTCCCTGACCTGTTTGGAGAGCTCCTTGGTCTTCATGGTGCCACTCGCTTGGTGGTGCCCCTTGCTTAGTGGTGTTGCAGACTCCTTTCAGAACAGGTGAATATATACTCAAATCAAGTGACCGTTAGATTGCACACAGGTGGACTTTATTTAACTACAGTGGGGAGAACAAGTATTTGATACACTGCCGATTTTGCAGGTTTTCCTACTTACAAAGCATGTAGAGGTCTGTAATTTTTATCATAGGTACACTTCAACTGTGAGAGACTGAATCTAAAACAAAAATGCAGAAAATCACATTGTATGATTTTTAAGTAATTAATTTGCATTTTACTGCATGACCTAAGTATTTGATACATCAGAAAAGCAGAACTTAATATTTGGTACAGAAACCTTTGTGTGCAATTACAGAGATCATACATTTCCTGTAGGTCTTGACCAGGTTTGCACACACTGCAGCAGGGATTTTGGCCCACTCCTCCATACAGACCTTCTCCAGATCCTTCAGGTTTCGGGGCTGTCGCTGGGCAATACAGACTTTCAGCTCCCTCCAAAGATTTTCTATTGGGTTCAGGTCTGGAGACTGGCTAGACCTTGAGATGCTTCTTACGGAGCCACTCCTTAGTTGCCCTGGCTGTGTGTTTCGGGTCGTTGTCATGCTGGAAGACCCAGCCACGACCCATCTTCAATGCTCTTACTGAGGGAAGGAGGTTGTTGGCCAAGATCTCGCGATACATGGCCCCATCCATCCTCCCCTCAATACGGTGCAGTCGTCCTGCAGAAAAGCATCCCCAAAGAATGATGTTTCCACCTCCATGCGTCACGGTTGGGATGGTGTTCTTGGAGTTGTACTCATCCTTCTTCTTCCTCCAAACACGGCGAGTGGAGTTTAGACCAAAAAGCTTAATTTTTGTCTCATCAGACCACATGACCTTCTCCCATTCCTCCTCTGGATCATCCAGATGGTCATTGGCAAACTTCAGACGGGCCTGGACATGCACTGGCTTGTTCTGGGCTGATCCCTCACCTTCCTCATGATCATTAATGCCCCACGCGGTGAGATCTTGCATGGAGCCCCAGACCGAGGGTGATTGACCGTCCTCTTGAACTTCTTCCATTTTCTAATAATTGTGCCAACAGTTGTTGCCTTCTCACCAAGCTGCTTGCCTATTGTCCTGTAGCCCATCCCAGCCTTGTGCAGGTCTACAATTTTATCCCTGATGTCCTTACACAGCTCTCTGGTCTTGGCCATTGTGGAGAGGTTGGAGTCTGTTTGATTGAGTGTGTGGACAGGTCTTTTATACAGGTAACAAGTTCAAACAGGTGCAGTTAATACAGGTAATGAGTGGAGAACAGGAGGGCTTCTTAAAGAAAAACTAACAGGTGTGTGAGAGCCGCAATTCTTACTGGTTGGTAGGTGATCAAATACTTATGTCATGCAATAAAATGCAAATTATTTACTTAAAAATCATACATTATGATTTTCTGGATTTTTGTTTTAGATTCCGTCTCTCACAGTTGAAGTGTACCTATGATAAAAATTACAGACCTCTACATGCTTTGTAAGTAGGAAAACCTGCAAAATTCGGCAGTGTATCAAATACTTGTTCTCCCCACTGTAAATATGTGACTTCTGAAGGTAATTGGTTGCACCAGACCTTATTTCGGGGCTTCATAACAAAGGGGGTGAATACATATGCACGCACCACTTTTCCGTTATTAGAATTTTTTTAGAATTTTTTAAAACAAGTTATTGTTTTTATTTCACTTCACCAAGTTGGACTATTTTGTGTATGTCCATTACATGAAATCCAAATAAAAATCAATTTAAAATACTGGTTGTAATGCAACAAAATAGGAAAAACGGCAAGAGGGATGAATACTTCTGCAAGGCACTTTAGCAGCGTTGAACCTGCAGCATCAGCTTAGACTGTTTGACCACCCTAGGCCATAAACACTGTAAATACGTTTCCATGGTGTTACAGGTGAAGGGAGTCCGGGTGTAATACGTTTCCATTGTGTTACAGGTGAAGGGCGTCCGGGTGTAATACGTTTCCATGGTGTTACAGGTGAAGGGCGTCCGGGTGTAATACGTTTCCATGGTGTTACAGGTGAAGGGCGTCCGGGTGTAATACATTTCCATTGTGTTACAGGTGAAGGGCGTCCGGGTGTAATACATTTCCATTGTGTTACAGGTGAAGGGCGTCCGGGTGTAATACATTTCCATTGTGTTACAGGTGAAGGGCGTCCGGGTGTAATACATTTCCATTGTGTTACAGGTGAAGGGCGTCCGGGTGTAATACATTTCCATTGTGTTACAGGTGAAGGGCGTCCGGGTGTAATACATTTCCATTGTGTTACAGGTGAAGGGCGTCCGGGTGTAATACATTTCCATTGTGTTACAGGTGAAGGGCGTCCGGGTGTAATACATTTCCATTGTGTTACAGGTGAAGGGCGTCCGGGTGTAATACATTTCCATTGTGTTACAGGTGAAGGGCGTCCGGGTGTACAAACGTAACCGCATGGTCATCACCAACCCTGTCGTCTCCAGGAAGGACCCCACCTTCAACACCATCACCTACGACTGGGCCCCGCCAGGACTCACACAGAAACTGGTAAGGGGAAGGAAAGGGGAGGGGAGGGGAGGGGAGGGAAGGGAAGGGAAGGGGAGGGGAGGGGAAGGGAAGGGAAGGGAAGGGAAAGGAAAATGTTTCCCCCTGACACACAGTGGGCACACTTCCTGCCTGTCAGCCGATGGAAGAACCATGAAGTTTATTTCCAGACCTTCTGTCCGTCTGTCCTCCTAACGCGCTCCACTCTGCTCTGCCACGAGACCTCTAGGGTCCCTGTGGACAAAAGGCCTGGTCGGACCTGGTCCAGCTCCTACATTAAAGAGCTCCATTTAAAGATTTGCTCTCTTCCAGAGTAGGACCTGACTGTAACGGCACAGCGAGCCTCAGCCAGAGGCAGCATTGGGGTGTGATGTAGTAGAGATCAACATAGTTCCATGCTTGGCATTTCCCACCTTAGTCAGTCAGAACTGACTTTCCAGAACTGTCCGTCCACGTGCCGCAGCCACCATCACCACAGAGATATATATTTAGAGAGTTCGGCCATCTTTTATATATATATAATATATATATTATTCTAGATATTCAGTTACATAGCATTTTCTAAAAATATTTCTCATTTAATGTTAATGGGGCACTCTGTGGTGGGAAAAAGTACCCAAATGTTATACTTGAGTAAAAGTAAAGATGCCAGAAAATGACTCAAGTAAAAGTCTAAAATGTACTTAAGTATCAAAAGGAAAAGCAAATGCCATATCAAAATGCTATCTCGAATTCCTTATATTATATAATTATATTAGGCAAATGAGACGGCACGATTTTCTTGTGTTTTATTTCATTTACAGACAGACTGGGGCACACTCCAACACTCAGACTATTTACAAACCCAATATGTGTGTTTAGCTAGTCCGTCAGATCAGAGGCAGTAGGGATGACTGCGCATTCGCTTGATAAAGTGCGTGAATTGGACCAATATCTGCTGTCATGCCTGAGCATTCGAAATGTAACGAGTACTTTTGGGTGCCAGGGGAAAATGTATGGAGTAAAAAGTGTATTATTTTATTTAGGAATGTAGTGAAGTAAAAGTAGTCGAAAAATATAAATAGTAAAGTACAGATACTACAAAAAAACGACTTAAATAAAAATACTTTGAAGTACTACTTATGTACTTTATACCACTGGGGGAGCTAACACGGCTGCCATAGACTTTATACCACTGGGGGAGCTAACACGGCTGCCATAGACTTTATACCACTGGGGGAGCTAACACGGCTGCCATAGCTCCCCCAGTGGTATAAAGTCTATGGCAGCCGTGTTAGCTCCCCCAGTGGTATAAAGTCTATGGCAGCCGTGTTAGCTCCCCCAGTGGTATAAAGTCTATGGCAGCCGTGTTAGCTCCCCCAGTGGTATAAAGTCTATGGCAGCCGTGTTAGCTCCCCCAGTGGTATAAAGTCTATGGCAGCCGTGTTAGCTCCCCCAGTGGTATAAAGTCTATGGCAGCCGTGTTAGCTCCCCCAGTGGTATAAAGTCTAACACGGCTGCCATAGACTTTATACCACTGGGGGAGCTAACACGGCTGCCATAGACTTTATACCACTGGGGGAGCTAACACGGCTGCCATAGACTTTATACCACTGGGGGAGCTAACACGGCTGCCATAGACTTTATACCACTGGGGGAGCTAACACGGCTGCCATAGACTTTATACCACTGGGGGAGCTAACACGGCTGCCATAGACTTTATACCACTGGGGGAGCTAACACGGCTGCCATAGACTTTATACCACTGGGGGAGCTAACACGGCTGCCATAGACTTTATACCACTGGGGGAGCTAACACGGCTGCCATAGACTTTATACCACTGGGGGAGCTAACACGGCTGCCATAGACTTTATACCACTGGGGGAGCTAACACGGCTGCCATAGAACGTTGTAGTGCGTCGTCTAGTCTTACCTTTACGACAGAAAACTACATCAGATTGTGACAAATTGATCAAAATATTTTTATATTGGATTGAGAGTTTCATTCATCTTTTTAAATACGATCTCAGTGTAGTCTTTGCTATGCATTTTGTTGACACACGGTACAGTTACTGTATCTTCTGTTAGTGGTACAGTACATATTAGTGATCTCTCTCTAAGAATACCTCAGAGTTTTGTATGATTCACTGAGGAGCATGATGCAGTCTGTCTGTGGTGCAGCCTGCATGCTAAAGCCTGCCTGTGCGGAGTGTGTGTGTGTGTGTGTGTGTGTGTGTGTGTGTGTGTGTGTGTAGGCCTCCCTCATGCTCTTAAGGCCAGGGCCGGCCTTCCAGGAAACCTTCATCAGGACACACTAATGACAGGCAGGATTGTGGAGTGGTGAACTTTACCCCAGGATTGTGGAGTGGTGAGCGGTGAGCTTTACCCCAGGATTGTAGAGTGGTGGAGTGGTGAGCGGTGAGCTTTACCCCAGGATTGTGGAGTGGTGGAGTGGTGAGCGGTGAGCTTTACCCCAGGATTGTGGAGTGGTGAGCGGTGAGCTTTACCCCAGGATTGTAGAGTGGTGGAGTGGTGAGCGGTGAGCTTTACCCCAGGATTGTAGAGTGGTGAGCGGTGAGCTTTACCCCAGGATTGTGGAGTGGTGAGCGGTGAGCTTTACCCCAGGATTGTGGAGTGGTGAGCGGTGAGCTTTACCCCAGGATTGTAGAGTGGTGAGCGGTGAGCTTTACCCCAGGATTGTGGAGTGGTGGAGTGGTGAGCGGTGAGCTTTAACCCCAGGATTGTGGAGTGGTGAGCGGTGAGCTTTACCCCAGGATTGTGGAGTGGTGGAGTGGTGAGCTTTACCCCAGGATTGTGGAGTGGTGGAGTGGTGAGCTTTACCCCAGGATTGTAGAGTGGTGGAGTGGTGAGTGGTGAGCTTTACCCCAGGATTGTGGAGTGGTGAGCGGTGAGCTTTACCCCAGGATTGTAGAGTGGTGGAGTGGTGAGTGGTGAGCTTTACCCCAGGATTGTGGAGTGGTGAGCGGTGAGCTTTACCCCAGGATTGTGGAGTGGTGGAGTGGTGAGCTTTACCCCAGGATTGTAGAGTGGTGGAGTGGTGAGTGGTGAGCTTTACCCCAGGATTGTGGAGTGGTGAGCGGTGAGCTTTACCCCAGGATTGTAGAGTGGTGGAGTGGTGAGCGGTGAGCTTTACCCCAGGATTGTGGAGTGGTGAGCGGTGAGCTTTACCCCAGGATTGTAGAGTGGTGGAGTGGTGAGCTTTACCCCAGGATTGTAGAGTGGTGAGCGGTGAGCGGTGAGCTTTACGCCAGGATTGTAGAGTGGTGAGCGGTGAGCTTTACCCCAGGATTGTAGAGTGGTAAGCGGTGAGCTTTACCCCAGGATTGTAGAGTGGTGGAGCGGTGAGCGGTGAGCTTTACCCCAGGATTGTAGAGCGGTGAGCGGTGAGCGGTGAGCTTTACCCCAGGATTGTAGAGCGGTGAGCGGTGAGCGGTGAGCTTTACCCCAGGATTGTAGAGCGGTGAGCGGTGAACGGTGAGCTTTACCCCAGGATTGTGGAGTGGTGAGCGGTGAGTGGTGAGCGGTGAGCTTTACCCCAGGATTGTAGAGCGGTGAGCTTTACCCCAGGATTGTAGAGCGGTGAGCGGTGAGCGGTGAGCTTTACCCCAGGATTGTAGAGCGGTGAGCTTTACCCCAGGATTGTAGAGTGGTGAGCGGTGAGCTTTACCCCAGGATTGTAGAGTGGAACAGCCAGGCAGAGAGTGGGGAGCAGAGTTTACCACTAAAAGAGCGCTGTAGCCCACCCTTACAAAGAAAACCCAATGTGACTGATGTGTCCTCTTCCAAGAGGTTTTGTGACTGAAGTTTACTATTTACTGAGGCTGTTTGGAATGTGTTTGATGACCTCTGTTATTAGGGGAGAGATGAAGGATGATTGGCTAATTTGAGTGGCTAGCTAGTGGCCAGCTAGCTAGATACGTTTTGTTAGAGATGGAGAAAAGAGGAATAGAGTGGTGTTCTAGGCCACAGAGGGCTGACAGTAGAAGAGGCTGACAGTAGAATAGATGGAGGGTTGTGATAGGCCACAGAGGGCTGACAGTAGAAGAGGCTGACAGTAGAATAGATGGAGGGTTGTGATAGGCCACAGAGGGCTGACAGTAGAATAGATGGAGGGTTGTGATAGGCCGCAGAGGGCTGACAGTAGAATAGATGGAGGGTTGTGATAGGCCGCAGAGGGCTGACAGTAGAATAGATGGAGGGTTGTGATAGGCCACAGAGGGCTGACAGTAGAAGAGGAGGAGGGCTGGAGGAATGAAGACACGGGTTGGAGAGAAGGAAGGATGGAGAGACTAGAAGAAAGGAGAGAAGGAGTGCTTTGCTAGCGAGGCCACACTGTGCTGACAGCAACCTGGAGGCTGTAGGAAAGAGTGATGGTCCCTCAGCGCTGTGAGGGTTAGCTGCTTGTTCCACTGTGGAACCGATCTGGAATGTGTTGAATGTCTGCGTGTGTGTGTGTGTGTGTGTGTGTGTGTGTGTGTGTGTGTGTGTGTTCTAACAAATACAAAAATATAAACATCTGCCAAGAAGGTTATTTGTCATATAACGTTACTTATAAAGTGGTGATGTTGAACACCATCATAGAAAGGCTGTTCTGTTAATAACAAAGAGGCAGTGTTGCAGCGTGGGTAACGCAGTCCGCTGCGGTGTGGCTGTGTATGGGGCAGCACAGGGAGAAGGGCCTCAGGGAACTACAGTGTGAATGGACCTCTCTGTGCTCTGTTCCCTAACAGGGACCCTGTAGATTAGAGCAGTGGTTCCAAACCAGGGGTAATAGGACCCCTGGGGGTACTCAGTCTATCCACAGGGGGGTACTTGAGAAGACTCATGAGACCATAGAGGCCTACTGGTAAAATGCACAAGAGGGGGTACTTCAGGGGTACTCCGGGCAGAGGAAAATTCAGTTGGTGGTACAGTAACCGAAAAAAGGTTGGGAACCACTGGAGTAGAGGTTCTGTTTCTCCGCTACTGGGAAGGTAAACACGCCACGGCTGCCTACCGTAGGGCTCTGGTCTGAAGTAGTGCACTACATAGGGGATAGGGTGCCATTCTCTGGTCTAAAGTAGTGCACCACATAGGGGATAGGGTGCCATTCTCTGGTCTAAAGTAGTGCACCACATAGGGGATAGGGTGCCATTCTCTGGTCTAAAGTAGTGCACTACATAGGGGATAGGGTGCCATTCTCTGGTCTAAAGTAGTGCACTACATAGGGGATAGGGTGCCATTCTCTGGTCTAAAGTAGTGCACCACATAGGGGATAGGGTGCCATTCTCTGGTGTAAAGTAGTGCACTACATAGGGTATAGGGTGCCATTCTCTGGTCTAAAGTAGTGCACCACATAGGGGATAGGGTGCCATTCTCTGGTCTAAAGTAGTGTACTACATAGGGGATAGGGTGCCATTCTCTGGTCTAAAGTAGTGCACCACATAGGGGATAGGGTGCCATTCTCTGGTCTAAAGTAGAGCACCACATAGGGAATAGGGTGCCATTCTCTGGTCTAAAGTAGTGCACCACATAGGGGATAGGGTGCCATTCTCTGGTCTAAAGTAGTGCACTACATAGGGGATAGGGTGCCATTCTCTGGTCTAAAGTAGTGCACCACATAGGGGATAGGGTGCCATTCTCTGGTCTAAAGTAGTGCACCACATAGGGGATAGGGTGCCATTCTCTGGTCTAAAGTAGTGCACTATATAGGGAATAGGGTGCCATTCTCTGGTCTAAAGTAGTGCACTACATAGGGGATAGGGTGCCATTCTCTGGTCTAAAGTAGTGCACTACATAGGGGATAGGGTGCCATTTGGGAAGCAGCCGTTGGGTATAGCTCAGTGTTAAAGGAACCAATCTCAGGTTCCAAAGCCAGCTATAGCTGCTGCTGACTACAGTGGAGTCAGTCACATAAAGAACTAGTCAAAGACAAACCGTACCGTTTAGATCAAGACCAACTACCGTTTAGATCAAGACCAACTGTACCGTTTAGATCAAGACCAACTACCGTTTAGATCAAGACCAACTGTACCGTTTAGATCAAGACCAACTAGCGTTTAGATCAAGACCAACTGTACCGTTTAGATCAAGACCAACTGTACCGTTTAGATCAAGACCAACTGTACCGTTTAGATCAAGACCAACTGTACCGTTTAGATCAAGACCAACTGTACCGTTTAGATCAAGACCAACTGTACCGTTTAGATCAAGACCAACTGTACCGTTTAGATCAAGACCAACTGTACCGTTTAGATCAAGACCAACTGTACCGTTTAGATCAAGACCAACTGTACCGTTTAGATCAAGACCAACTAGCGTTTAGATCAAGATCAACTAGCGTTTAGATCAAGAACAACTGTACCGTTTAGATCAAGACCAACTGTACCGTTTAGATCAAGACCAACTGTACCGTTTAGATCAAGACCAACTGTACCGTTTAGATCAAGACCAACTAGCGTTTAGATCAAGACCAACTGTACCGTTTAGATCAAGACCAACTAGCGTTTAGATCAAGCATACTCTCGATTGTATTACAGGAACCAGCTCCTAAAAGTGACAGTTAAAAAAAATACTTGTCTGAACACATTAGATTTGATTCTATTGTTGCTGTTGTAACTCAATATTAGGAAGGTGTTCCTAATGTTTGGTATACTCAGTGTATATCTTGTAAAATGACAGGGGGGATTTGTTCATTTGAGTTTCATGCTTGTTTTATTATTTAAAAGTGGAACATTAATTGCATCATTCAAGTCCGAAGTTGATGGGTTTATGGAGCCCCTCACCACTCTCTGGAAGTCTCCCTCAGAGTTTTGTCAGCAACACGTGACAACGGAGGGCCCTCAGCGCGAGTTGATATGGGCGAGGGGGTGGTTTGGGATTCACTGTCTCTCTCTCCTCTCTCCTCTCTCTCTCTCTCTCTCTCTCTCTCTCTCTCTCTCTCTCTCTCTCTCTCTCTCTCTCTCTCTCTCTCTCTCTCTCTCTCTCTCTCTTCCTCTCTCCTCTCTCCTCTCTCCGCTATCTCTCTCCTCTCTCTCTCTCCTCTATCTCTCTTGCTCTGCCCCCTCCCCTTTCCAGGCCATGCTGTACATGGAGTTGCTCCCGGAGGAAAAGCGTCCTGTAGCAGGGACTGAGGGAGCGATGTACCGGCGCAGGCAGCTGATGAGGCAGCTACCTGTCTACGATCAGGACCCCTCACAGTGCCACAGGCCTCTGTCAGAGGACGAGGTTAGATTTTGATTTGATATGCTTCTTGTCCAAATAAATTATAAATAAATCTCTCTCTCTCTCTATATTTTAGCATTTAAGCCTCCATTTTTGGGGATTTGTCCACATTTTTGATAGTGTGCTCCACCTGGGCGGCAGGTAGCTTAGTGGTTAAGAGCGTTGTGCCAGTAACCGAAAGGTCGCTGGTTCTAATCCCAGAGCCGACTAGGTGAAAAATCTGTCAATGTGCCCTTGAGCAAGGCACTTAACCCTAATTGCTCCTGTAAGTCGATCTGGATAAGAGTGTCTGCTAAATGACTAAAATTTTAAAAGATGTATCTCATCGGTCAGATTGTTATTTTCAAACCCACACACCTGTAACATACACTATTTGATATAAAGGATATTTAAAGAGCGCAGATGGATACCCATCATTTCTTTTGACACGATTTGATATTTATTAATACATATTAAGCTGCACCTGCAGTAATAAACATTACATTCGTTAAACATAGTTGAGGATGGACTATACATCATATAGCCTGAAAGGTTATTTCCATTGTCGGTCTTTGTTCCCCCACCAGCTCCAGGCCATGTCTGTCTTCATGAAGACCTACAAGGAAGAGGCTCTTGGGGTGGGGGAGGTGGCGCTGCCTGGGGAGGGAGGAGCTCACCCTCCGCCCACCGTGGTCAAAGGAGATAAGCAGAAGAACGGAACTGGGACTGGGACTGGGAATGGGCAGGCCACCATTATCCAGCCAGACCCTATTTATACTCCCACCACCAATGGGACTGACGGCTGTAGGAAAAGTGAATATGTAAGTCTCATTGGTACACTATTTACAGGAGCGTTTGCTTTAGCTTGCCTGAAGTGCCAGATGGGCGGGGTTTGTGTTTTTGGAATTATTCTATTGGTTCCATTTAAGCCAGGCAAGCTCAATCAAGCACAGATAAAGTATTTGAAATGATTTCTAATAGTACTTGAATACAGGTCTATTTTGACCCTGTCTCTCACCTATCCTCTCCATCTAGCAGCCTCCTCCTGCTCTAGAGAGGGGGCCTCCCACTCCACTCCAAGCCTTTCAATCTGCTCTAGAGGGGGGGCCTCCCACTCCACTCCAAGCCTTTCAATCAGCTCTAGAGAGAGGGGGCCTCCCACTCCGCTCCAAGCCTTTCAATCTGCTCTAGAGAGAGGGGGCCTCCCACTCCACTCCAAGCCTTTCAATCTGCTCGAGAGAGGGGGCCTCCCACTCCACTCCAAGCCTTTCAATCTGCTCTAGAGAGAGGGGGCCTCCCACTCCACTTCAAGCCTTTCAATCTGCTCTAGAGAGAGGGGGCCTCCCACTCCACTCCAAGCCTTTCAATCTGCTCTAGAGAGGGGACCTCCCACTCCACTCCAAGCCTTTCAATCCTTAGGCTATTTTATTTTTCTCTTTCATTACTCCATTCCTTACTTTTCTTTCATCACCCCTGCACTTTGAATTTTCCTACAAGAATAATTTGAGTTTTTAAAAACGAATAATTATTTGTTTTGACATGCATAACACAAAGGCTTTTAATTATGTTGAATCATAAAGTTCACATATAGGAGTTAAGATCAGAATGAATGGTGGTGATTGGTCGCTGTGGGGGAAATCCAACACTTGAAGAAAGACATACCCCAAGAGACTTGCAGCTGTAATTGCGGCAAAAGGTGGCTCTACAAAGTATTGACTTTGGGGGGTGGGGGGGGGGGGGGTGAATAGTTATGCACGCTCAAGTTTTCTTTCTTTTTTTTGTCTTATTTCTTGTTTGTTTCACAATCAAAAAATATTTTGCATCTTCAAAGTGGTAGGCATGTTGTGTAAATCAAATGATACAAACCCCCCCAAAATCCATTTTAATTCCAGGTTGTCCAGGCAACAAAATAGGAACAATGCCAAAGGGGGTGAATACTTTCGCAAGCCACTGTATATCATTCTCCTGACTGCTATGTGAGCTCAACCTGGGGAACTAGACATTTTCCCTGGTCAGATTCTGTCACTGTTACTGCACATAGAGCTAGCAGTTTCCTATTGGCTAGGTAGTAAGGCATGCTTAGGTGAAGTGGAGAAAGCAGGCACTATAGTGTCCTGGGGGTTGGTGGGACAGAAATACACTGTAGTCAGGATAAGTTGTTTTTCCTGAACACATTACCTAGCATGACAGAGTCAGGGTAAGTTATAAGTACAGTCATCTTCTGGTATACATCTTCTAAACTCCATCATGACTTTTCATGTGAGTTCTGTTGGCCCAACAGTGTCCTCAATGAGCTTCAACTAACGCCGTCAGTCTGATCGGTGACCTGTGAAGTAGTAATGATCTCCTTCTGTTACCCCCGGCTCAGACTGACGATGCGTCCCAAATGGCACCCTATTCCTACATAGTGCACTACTTTTGGGCTCTGGCCAGGGAATACGGTGCTATTTGGGACGCAGCCTGAGACTATTGATTATTTCCTCGACTCCTCTAATTCGCGCTCTGTGCCTCCTTTTCAAAAACGCATTGGAGAAGGTCAATACGGAGGTGAGGAAATGAAGCAAAGAATTGTGGAAAGACGGAGAGAGAGAGCTGCCAGAGAGATTGAGAGAGAGAGAGAGCTGCCAGAGAGAGAGAGAGAGAGAGAGAGAGAGAGAGAGCTGCCAGAGAGAGAGAGAGAGAGAGAGAGAGAGCTGCCAGAGAGAGAGAGAGAGAGCTGCCAGAGAGCGAGAGAGAGAGAAGCCGCTGCCAGAAGAGAGAGAAGAGGCTGCCAGAGAGAGAGAGAAGCGCTGCCAGAGAGATAGAGGAGAGAGCGCTGCCAGGAGAGAGAGAGAGAGAGAGAAGAGAGAGCGCTGGCCAGAGAGAGAGAGAGAGAGCGCTGCCAGAGAGAGAGAGAGAGAGAGAGAGCGCTGCCAGAGAGAGAGAGAGAGAGAGAGAGCGCTGCCAGAGAGAGAGAGAGAGAGAGAGAGAGCGCTGCCAGAGAGAGAGAGAGAGCGCTGCCAGAGAGAGAGAGAGCGCGCTGCCAGAGAGAGAGAGCGCGCTGCCAGAGAGAGAGAGCGCTGCCAGAGAGAAAGAGAGAGCTGCCAGAGAGAGAGAGAGCCAAGCCAAGCCAAAACCAAGCTTCTCTTTATCAGGAAACAGTTGTAATTCTTCTTCTGCTGCTCAGGGAAATATGCAATGGTCTCCACCTAATCAATAGACACTCAAGTAATTACAGGGCCACAGCACACAGCATCATCTAGTACACATTACTTCCTGTTGAATGCGGAATGAGGGAGAGCTCGGTTTGTTGTTTTGAAAGTCTATTGAAAACGATTGGTTACTAGTTAGCTAACTTTTGAGTTTGGATCCCGCGAGGTGGTTGGCATCAGTTGCTGGGACCGCTACTATCTGCCCAAGGTCTGAGGAGCAGCTTGGCGTAGCAGCTAGCCTAGCTGCTAGCTAGCTGCCTATCAAGCTAGCTGAGTTTTCATGAGGGCTTAAACACAGCGCCGCGACGCGGTTAGCCATTGTGGTTGAGACCGCGGATTGTCCTGGGCTTGTGGCTGATTAGATCCCTGCTGTTTGTTTTCAATCTTCCCTGTGACCTGTCCTGTCTGGAACTGAGAGGAGTAACAGCGTAACCTACGTTGCTACCATGACAAAGACCAATGCCGGCGGGAGTACCATTGAGGACAGTGGTGTCTCTCTATCACAGGTGAAGGATCTTTTAAACAAACAAAAAAAAAATAGTTTTACAAGCAGTTGTTACAACAACAAGAACATTGCTTCAAGTGTTTTGTCCAAATACTGGTGGAGTCAACTAATAAAAGAATGGACGACCTGGCCAGAGAGGTCCAGGACCTAAAGAAGATGACAATCTGTAAGTCATTGAGAGAGGACATCAGTTCTGTATGTGAATTCATGATAACAATGACGGAGAAATCAGATTATCTCGAGTGCCAATCAATGAGAAACAACATGGTTGTGGAAGGAATTGCAGAGTCTCCACACGAGACCTGGACGGAGTCTGAGGACAACGTGAGAAAAATGATCTCGGAGAAACTGAAGATGGACCACAGGAAGATTGAGGTGCTGAAACTGAACTGAAAAACCCAGGGCCTCCCGAGGGGCGCAGCGGTCTAAGGCACTGACACTGCATCGCAGTGCTAGAGGCGTCACTACAGACCCTGGTTCGATCCCAGCCTCGATCCCACGACCGGGAGACCTATGAGACGGTGCACAATTGGCCCAGCGTCGTCCGGGTTAGGGGAGGGTTTGTCCGGCCCGGGATGTCCTTGTCCCATTGCGCTCTAGTGACTCCTTGTGGCGGGCCGGGCGCATGCACGCTGACTACGGTCGCCAGTTGTATGGTGTTTCCTCCGACACATTGGTGCAGCTGGCTTCCGGGTTAAGCGAGCAGTGTGTCAAGAAGCAGTGCGGCTTGGGCGGGGTTGTGTTTCGGAGGACACATGGCTCTTGACCTTTGCCTCTCCCGAGTCTGTACGGGAGTTGCAGCGATGGGACAAGACTGTAACTACCAATTTGGATATCATGAAATTGGGGAGAAAAAGGGGTGAAAAACCCCCCCACTGGCCCAGGTGACATGCCCAGGCCGTTAGTGGTGAAGTTCCCGAGGTTCAAGAAAAAGGTAGCTGTTCTGTAAAGAGCCAAGAACTTGAGAGGAACGTATATCTTCCTTAATGAGGACTATCCTGAAGCTGTGCGCCAGAAGATAAAATAACTTATCCCAGTCATGAAAGCTGCCAGAGCACGTGGGGACATTGCTTACATCCGCTATGACAGGCTCATTGTCCACCCTCCCTCCCAAAAGCCTGGAAGGGACGAGACAGCCAAGCCTATGGGTTCGTAGCTTTAACCCCGCAGCACACACACACCAACTGATTAATGGACTGCTGAATGTATATATTTCTCTCTTGCTTGGTTTGCTCTTTTCCATATTATGTTCATCTCTGATAAGCTGAAAATAGCCCATGTTAATATATGTATCCTTATAAATAAGGTTCATGAAATCAATAACTTGCAAACATCAGATAACATGAATATATTAGCCATTTCTGAGACTCACTTGGATAATTCATTTGATGATACAGCAGTAGCAATACAAGAATATAACATCTATAGAGACAGGAATGCTTATGGAGGAGGTGTTGCTGTATATATTCAGAGCCATATCCCTGTAATGCTTAGAGAGGATCTTATGTGATGTGTTATTGAAGTGTTGTGGTTGCAGGTTCACTTTGCACATCTAAAGCCTTTTCTATTTTTATTTTTTTTTATTTTCTTTTGGGGTGCTGCTATAGGCCACCAAGTGCTAACAGTCAGTATCTAAATAATATGTGTGAAATGCTTGATAGTGTATGTGCTGTAAACAGAGAGGTCTACTTTCTTGGGGACCTGAATATTGACTGGTTTTCATCGAGCTGTCCGCTCAAGAGGAAGCTTCTCACTGTAACCAGTGCCTGTAATCTGGTTCAGGTTATTAATCAACCTACCAGGGTGTTTACAAACACTACAGGAACAAGATCATCCACATGTATTGATCACATTTTTACTAATACTGATGAACTTTGTTCTAAAGCTGTATCCGTACCCATTACTGTAGATGCAGTGGCTATATCCAGGAAAGCCAAAGTTCCAAAAGCTGGGCCTAAAATAGTGTATGAGATCATACAAAAGATTTTGCTGTGACTCTTATGTGGATAATGTTACAGATATTTGTTGGTCTGATGTGATTAATAAGGAGCATCCAGACGCTGCACTTGATGAATTTATGAAATTGCTTCTTCCAATTATTGATAAAGATGCACCTGTTAAGAAACTGACTGTTAGAACTGTTAAGGCTCCATGGATTGATGAGGAATTGAAAAACTGTCTGGTTGAAAGAGACGGGGCAAAAGGAGTGGCTAATAAGTCTGGCTGCACATCTGACTGGCTGACTTACTGCAAATTGAGAATGTATGTGACTAAACTCAACAAAAAGAAGAAGAAACTGTATTATGAAGCCAAGATCAATGATATAAAGAATGATGGGGAAAAAATATGTTACAAAGGACAAATTCAACTCCATCTTTCATCGAATCAGATGGCTTATTCATCACAAAACCATTTGATGTCACACATATACAGTTGAAGTCGGAGGTTTACATACACTTAGGTTGGAGTCATTGAAACTCGTTTTTCAACCACTCCACAAATTTCATGTTAGCAAACTATCGTTTTGGCAAGTCGGTGCATGACACAAGTACTTTTTCCAACAATTGTTTACAGATAGATTATTTAACTTATAGTTAACTGTATCGCAATTCCAGTGGGTCAGAAGTTTACATACACTAAGTTGACTGTGCCTTTAAACAGCTTGGAAAATTACAGAAAATGATGTCATGGCTTTAGAAGCTTCTGATAGGCTAATTGACATCATTTGAGTTAATTGGAGGTGTAGCTGTGGATGTATTTCAAGGCCTACCTTCAAACTCAGTGCCTCTTTGCTTGACATCATGGGAAAATCAAAAGAAATCAGCCAAGACCTCAAAAAAAAAATGTAGACCTTCACAAGTCTGGTTCATCCTTGGGAGCAATTTCCAAATGCCTGAAGGTACCACGTTCATCTGTACAAACAATAGTACGCAAGTATAAACACCATGGGACCACGCAGCCGACATACCACTCAGGAAGGAGACGTGTTCTGTCTCCTAGAGATGAACGTACCTTGGTGTGAAAAGCGCAAATCAATCCCAGAACAACAGCAAAGGACCTTGTGAAGATGCTGGAGGAAACAGGTACAAAAGTATCTATATCCACAGTAAAACGAGTCCTATATCGACATAACCTGAAAGGCCGCTCAGCAAGGAAGAAGCCACTGCTCCAAAATCGCCATAAAAAAGCCAGACTACGGTTTGCAACTGCACATGGGGACAAAGATTATACTTTTTGGAGAAATGTCCTCTGGTCTGATGAAACAAAAATATAACTGTTTGGCCATAATGACCATCGTTATGTTTGGAGGAAAAAGGGGTATGCTTGCAAGCCGAAGAACACCATCCCAACCGTGAAGCACAGGGGTGGCAGCATCATGCTGTGGGTGTGCTTTGCTGCAGGAGGAACTGGTGCACTTCACAAAATAGATGGCATCATGAGGAAGGAAAATTATGTGGATATATTGAAGCAACATCTCAAGACATCAGTAAGGAAGTTAAAGCTTGGTCACAAATGGGTCTTCCAAATGGACAATGACCACAAGCATACCTCCAAAGTTTTGGCAAAATGGCTTAAGGACAACAAAGTCAAGGTATTGGAATGGCCATCACAAAGCCCTGACCTCAATCCTATAGAAAATGTGTCGGCTGAACTGAAAAAGCGTGTGCAAGCAAGGAGGCCTACAAACCTGACTCAGTTACACCAGCTCTGTCAGGAGGAATGGGCCAAAATTCACCCAACTTATTGTGGGACGCTTCTGGAAGGCTACCCGAAACGTTTGACCCAAGTTAAACAATTTAAAGGCAATGCTAACAAATACTAATTGAGTGTATGTAAACTTCTGACCCAGTGGGAATGTGACGAAATAAATAAAAGCTGAAATAAATCATTCTCTCTACTATTATTCTGACATTTCACATTCTTAAAATAAAGTGTTGATCCTAACTGACCTAAGACAGGGAATTTTTACTAGGATTAAATGTCAGGAATTGTGAAAAACTGAGTTTAAATGCATTTGGCTAAGGTGTATGTAAACTTCTGACTTCAACTGTATATCCACATTTTGTTACGTTACAGCCTTATTCTAGAAGTGTTGATGTCTTCACCATTATTCTGCAATTTAGAAAATAGTTAAAATGAAGAAAAACCCTGGAATGAGTAGGTGTGTCCAAACGTTTGACTGGTACTGTATATATTATTTAAAAATCTTATATACAGCACATACAGGCCATCATTACGAGAGAGGGAGGGAGAGATAGATAGACAGATAGAAAGCAGTATGAAAACAAACTCTGACTAAACATCTGACTGTGATTGCTTATATCATAACAGGAAATGCACCATGTTTCGGGCTTGGCCTTGGTGCTGTTGCTATAGTGATGTGGGCTTTGAGAGAGGCCGAAGCACTGTCATCATGTTGTGTGGATAGGACCATATACCGGCTAGTGGGTTACACCCAACCCCCTCCCAATTCCTGTGGTGTCAGTGTGTCTCTCTCTCTTGGACTGGGCTAGCGTTGCTCCATCTGGATCGTGACTGCCATGTGGGCTAGCGTTGCTCCATCTGGATCGTGACTGCCATGTGGGCTAGCGTTGCTCCATCTGGATCGTGACTGCCATGTGGGCTAGCGTTGCTCCATCTGGATCGTGACTGCCATGTTCATCTTTTCATGGTGCTCAGATTTTCATTGTTCCACAAAATGCTCAGTGGTATTGTTTTTGTCTCCCTCTGTTCCCTCTTATTCCCCATCTCCCTTTCACTTTTGCTCCCCCCCCCCCCCCTCCCTCATCCACTCGCCCCTCCTACAGCATTGCAGTGGTTGCGGGGAGCTCGCACCCCTGGACAGTCCTGTGGTGTATGCAGAGTGGGCAGGCTACGACAAGCAGTGGCACGCGACCTGCTTCGTGTGTTCAGAGTGTGGAGAGGCTCTGGTGGATCTAGTGTACTACTGGAGGGAGGGAGAGCTGCTCTGTGGAAGACACTACTGCCAGAGGACCAGACCACGCTGTTCAGGGTGTGATGAGGTGAGGGGAGGAACCAGACCACGCTGTTCAGGGTGTGACGAGGTGAGGGGAGGGACCAGACCACGCTGTTCAGGGTGTGACGAGGTGAAGGGGAGGGGCCAGACCACGCTGTTCAGGGTGTGACGAGGTGAAGGGGAGGGGCCAGACCACGCTGTTCAGGGTGTGATGAGGTGAGGGGAGGGGAGGAACCAGACCACGCTGTTCAGGGTGTGACGAGGTGAGGGGAGGGACCAGACCACGCTGTTCAGGGTGTGACGAGGTCAAGGGGAGGGACCAGACCACGCTGTTCAGGGTGTGACGAGGTCAAGGGACCAGACCACGCGTTTCAGGGTGTGACGAGGTGAGGGGGAGGGACCAGACCACGCTGTTCGGGTGGGACGAGGTGAAGGGGAGGGACCAGACCACGCTGTTCAGGGTGTGACGAGGTGAAGGGGAGGGACCAGACCACGCTGTTCAGGATGTGACGAGGTGAAGGGGAGGGACCAACCACGCTGTTCAGGTGTGACGAGGTTAGGTTGAGGGGAGGGACCAGACCACGCTGTTCAGGGTGTGACGATGGTGAGGGGAGGGAACCAAGACCACGCTGTTCAGGGTGTGACGAGGTGAGGGGGAGGGACCAGACCAAGCTTGTTCAGGGTGTGACGAGGTGAGGGGAAGGGACCAGACCACGCTGTTCGGGTGTGACGAGTGAGGGGAGGGACCAGACCACGCTGTTCAGGGTGTGCGAGGTGAGGGGAGGGACCAGCCCACGCTGTTCAGGGTGTGTGACGAGGTGAGGGGGGGGGCCAGACCACGCTGTTCAGGGGGTGACGAGGTGAGGGGGAGGGACCAGACCACGCTTTTTCAGGGTTGTGTACGAGGTGAGGGGAGGGACCAGACCACGCTGTTCAGGGTGTGACGAGGTGAGGGGGAGGACCAGACCACGCTGTTCAGGGTGTGATAGGGGGAAGGGGAGGGACCGACCACGCTGTTCAGGGTTTTGACGAGGGGAGGGGGGACCAGACCACGATGTTCAGGGTGTGACGAGGTGAGGGGAGGGGGGGACCAGACCACGCTGTTCAGGGTGTGGATGAGGTGAAGGGACCAGACCCACGCTGTTCAGGGTGTGACGAGGTGAGGGGGGAAAAACCAGACCACGCTGTTCAGGTGGGACGAGGTGAAGGGGGGGACCAGACCACGCTGTTCAGGGTGTGACGAGGTGAAGGGGGGGACCAGACCACGCTGTTCAGGGTGTGACAGGTGAGGGGGGAAACCAGACCGTGTTCAGGGGTGACGGGGTTTGAGGTGAGGGGAGGGACCAGACCACATGTCAGGGTGTGACGAGGTAAAGGGACCAGACCACGCTGTTCAGGGTGTGACGAGTGTGAGGTGAGGGGAGGGACCAGACACGCTGTTCAGGGTGTGACGGAGGTGAGGGGAGGGACCAGACCACGCTGTTCAGGGTGTGCTGAGGTGAGGGGAGGGGTGGGACCAGACCACGCTGTTCAGGGTGTGACGAGGTGAGGGGAGGGACCAGACCACGCTGTTCAGGGTGTGATGAGGTGAGGGGAGGAACCAGACCACGCTGTTCAGGGTGTGACGAGGTGAGGGGAGGAACCAGACCACGCTGTTCAGGGTGTGACGAGGTGAGGGGGGGGGAGGGACCCAGACCACGCTGTTCAGGGTGTGACGAGGTGAGGGGAGGGACCAGACCACGCTGTTCAGGGTGTGACGAGGTGAGGGGAGGGGAGGGACCAGACCACGCTGTTCAGGGTGTGACGAGGTCAAGAGGGACTCAGAAATAGAATAGGAGAGGATTAACTTTAATGTCCCAAGGGAAAAATTGTCTTTGACACACAGTACTGCTCTATACAAAATACACACTAGACATAATACATTTAATTGAATGAGGGACGCCACTTCTATTCATTCTAATTCTAAGGGGCGACAACCGCAGATACAGTATCTCTAAAGTCAGGTACAGTATCTCTAAAGTCAGTTTAGTATTTTGATTTGAGTCTAAGGGTGACTTTTCTGGCTCCATAGAGAAACCTTTTACCCAATGAAGAACCCTTAAACTTTAATATTTTCTCCTCCTGTTTGCAGCTGATCTTCTGTGAGGACTACAAGAAGGGGGCAGATGGCCGGGCGTGGCACCACGACCATTACTGTTGCTGGCGGTGTGGCCAGAGTCTTGACAGCCCCTGTTCCTGTCCCCTAAACACCCAGCCCCAAGCCTGTTAGGCCCTCCACCACCCAGCCCCAAGCCTGTTAGGCCCTCTACCACCCAGCCCCAAGCCTGTTAGGCCCTCTACCACCCAGCCCCAAGCCTGTTAGGCCCTCCACCACCCAGCCCCAAGCCTGTTTAGGCCCTCCACCACCCAGCCCCAAGCCTGTTTAGGCCCTCTACCACCCAGCCCCAAGCCTGTTTAGGCCCTCCACCACCCAGCCCCAAGCCTGTTTAGGCCCTCTACCACCCAGCCCCAAGCCTGTTTAGGCCCTCTACCACCCAGCCCTAACCATGTTTAAGACAGCTTCTGACAGTTCCTGCCCCTAAACACCAAGACCAGTTTAAGACAGGCTCGTGCTCTTTACGCCAAGACTGGTTTAGGCACCCCCCACCCCATCCACCAGCAAACCCATTACACCAGGGGCGGCCATTTTCTAGAGATAGAATGACATATGTATATAATAATGATTTTTTAAAAATAACATATCATTCTATGTCACTGGGCCAACCCTTCTCTCTGGGACCTACCCCCATGCAGGATTTCCATTCATTTCCACTGCATATAAACTGTTAATAAAGTCCTCAGTGATTGGTTGTAAACTAAGGGCTCTTTCATGAGAGGCTGAAACACATACATTAATAGTCATGGGTGCCATGATAGAATGCAGTAACTAGCTTACATTGGCTGAGTATCAGATATCAGGTAGTCATTAGGAAGGGCCATCTAGGGAGGTCCAACACTACAAATGATCCAGAAATACACTATATATACAAAAGGTATGTGGACACCCCTTCAAGTTAGTGGATTCGGCTATTTCAGCCACACCCGTTGCTGAAAGGTCTATAAAAATCGAGCACACAGCCATGCGATCTCCATAGACAAACATTGGCAGTAGAGTGGCCTGTACTGAAGAGCTCAGTGACTTTCAACGTGGCACCGTCATAAGATGCCACCTTTCCAACAAGTCAGTTCGTAAAGTTTCTGCCCTGCTAGAACTGCCCCGGTCAACTGTAAGTGCTGTTATTGTGAAGTGGAAACGTCTAGGAGAAACAACGGCTCAGCCGCAAAGTGGTAGGCCATACAAGCTCACAGAACGGGGCCCCCGAGTGCTGAAGTGTGTAGCATGTAAAGATTGTCTGCCCTCGGTTGCTACACTCACTACTGAGTTCCTAACTGCCTCTGGAAGCAACGTCAGCACAATAATTGTTCGTCGGGAGCTTCATGAAATGGGTTTCAATGGCCGAGCAGCCGCACACAAGCCTAAAATCACCATGTGCAATGCCAAGCATTGGCTGGAGTGGTGTAAAGCTTGCTGCCATTGGACTCTGGAGCAGTGGAAACGCGTTCTCTGGAGTGATGAATCACGCTTCATCATCTGGCAGTCAGACGGACGAATCTGGGTTTGGCGGATGCCAAACTTGACTGGCCTTCACAGAGCCCTGACCTCAACCCCGTCGAACACCTTTGTCGCCCAACATCAGTGCCCAACCTCACTAATGCTCTTGTGGCTTAATGGAAGCAAGTCCCCGCAGCAATGTTCCAACATCTAGCGGAAAGCCTTCCCAGAAGAGTGGAGGCTGTTATAGCAGCAAAGGGGGGGACCGACTCCATATTAATGCCCATGATTTTGGAATGAGATGTTTGACGAGCAGGTGTCCACGTACTTTTGGTCATGCAGTGTACCTTGTTTTGCTGTGTGCTCTTTTCAGTGAGCCTCAATCTATTGCACTGTAGTACTGCATACAATGACTCAGTGATCATCATCAACAGTGTCTCCCTCCCTACCATGTTGTAGCAGCACGCCCTGATGTGTTGACTGCCTGCAACTTAATGCTCCTACATACAATCCCTCAGAAGTCCTGTTCTGAAGTTCTGTTCTGAAGGCCTGTTCTGTTCTGAAATCCTGTTCTGTTCTGAAATCCTGTTCTGTTCTGAAATCCTGTTCTGAAGGCCTGTTCTGTTCTGAAGGCCTGTCCTGTTCTGAAGTTCTGTTCTGAAATCCTGTTCTGTTCTGAAATCCTGTTCTGTTCTGAAATCCTGTTCTGAAGGCCTGTTCTGTTCTGAAGGCCTGTCCTGTTCTGAAGTTCTGTTCTGAAATCCTGTTCTGTTCTGAAGGCCAGTTCTGTTCTGAAGGCCTGCCCTGTTCTGAAGTTCTGTTCTGAAGGCCTGTTCTGTTCTGAAGTCCTGTTCTGTTCTGAAGTCCTGTTCTGTTCTGAAATCCTGTTCTGTTCTGAAGTCCTGTTCTGTTCTGAAGTCCTGTTCTGTTCTGAAGTCCTGTTCTGTTCTGAAGGCCTGTTCTGTTCTGAAATCCTGTCCTGTTCTGAAGTCCTGTTCTGAAATCCTGTTCTGTTCTGAAATCCTGTCCTGTTCTGAAGGCCTGTTCTGTTCTGAAGTCCTGTTCTGAAATACTGTCCTGTTCTGAAGGCCTGTCCTGTTCTGAAGGCCTGTCCTGTTCTGAAGGCCTGTTCTGTTCTGAAGTCCTGTCCTGTTCTGAAGGCCTGTCCTGTCCTGTCCTGTTCTGAAGTCCTGTTCTGAAGTTCTGTTCTGACGGCCTGTTCTGTTCTGAAGTCCTGTTCTGAAATCCTGTCCTGTTCTGAAATCCTGTCCTGTTCTGAAGTCCTGTCCTGTTCTGAAGTCCTGTTCTGAAGGCCTGTTCTGTTCTGAAGGTCTGTTCTGTTCTGAAGGCCTGTTCTCTTCTGAAGGCCTGTTCTGTTCTGAAATCCTGTCCTGTTCTGATGTTCTGTCCTGTTCTGAAATCCTGTTCTGTTCTGAAATCCTGTTCTGAAGTTCTGTTCTGTTCTGAAATCCTGTTCTGTTCTGAAATCCTGTTCTGTTCTGAAATCCTGTTCTGAAGGTCTGTTCTGTTCTGAAATCCTGTTCTGTTTTTAAATCCTGTTCTGAAGTTCTGTTCTGAAGGCCTATTCTGTTCTGAAATCCTGTTCTGTTCTGAAGTTCTTACTTTATAGGATTACTTTATACTATCCCAGGTATTCCTTAAAGAGGTAGTGTTTCAAGTGTCTCCGGAAGGTGGTCAGTGACTCCGCTGCCCTGGCGTCGTGAGGGAGCTTGTTCCACCATTGGGGTGCCAGAGCAGCGAATAGCTTTGACTGGGCTGAGCGGGGAACTGTGCTTCCGTAGAGGTAGGGGGGCTAGCAAGCCAGAGGTGGATGAACGTAGTGCCCTCGTTTGGGAGTAGGGTCTGATCAGAGCCTGAAGGTGAGGAGGTGGCGTTCCCCTCACAGCTCCGTAGGCAAGCACCATGGTCTTGTAGTAGATGCGAGCCTCAACTGGAAGCCAGTGGAGTGTGCGGAGGAGCGGGGTGACATGAGGGAACTTGGGAAGGTCGAACACCAGACGGGCTGCGGCGTTCTGGATAAGTTGTAGGGGTTTAATTGCACAGGCAGGGAGCCCAGCCAACAGCGAGTTGCAGTAATTCAGACGGGAGATGACAAGTGCCTGGATTAGACATGGATTGTGTATGTGTGCCATTCAGAGGGTGAATGGGAAAGACAAAATATTTAAGTGTCTTTGAATGTGGTACGGTCGTAGGTGCCAGGCACACCGGTTTGAGTGTGTCAAGAACTGCAATGCTGCTGGGTTTTTCACGCTCAACAGTTTTCCATGTGTATCAAGAATGGTCCACCACCCAAAGGATATCCAGCCAACTTGACAACTGTGGGAAACATTAGCGTCAACATGGGCATCCATCCCTGTGGAACACTTTCGACACCTTGTAGAGTCCATGCCTCGACAAATTGAGGCTGTTCTGAGGGCAAAAGGGGGGAATTGTACAGGGAATTGGGTGCCATTTGGGACTCAGCCAGAGTCAAAAGACAGCTCTCAGTCAGCCAAGAGAGCGGAGCAGGAAGGGAGGAGTTAGTCTTAGCATAGGGTTAGCCTTAGCATAGGGTTAGCCTTAGCATAGGGTTAGCCTTAGCATAGGGTTAGCCTTAGCACAGGGTTAGTCTTAGCATAGGGTTAGCCTTAGCATAGAGTTAGCCTTAGCATAGGGTTAGCCTTAGCATAGGGTTAGTCTTAGCATAGGGTTAGTCTTAGCATAGGGTTAGCCTTAGCATAGGGTTAGCCTTAGCATAGGGTTAGCCTTAGCATAGGGTTAGTCTTAGCATAGGGTTAGTCTTAGCATAGGGTTAGTCATAGCATATGTTTTGTCTTAGCATAGCGTTAGTCTTAGCATTCATTTTGGGAAGCAGAAAGCACTCAGGCCTGCTATCTGTCTGTCTCCTATTCATATCGGGTTTGTCAGTCAAAGTTGTAGATTAACTGTATTTCTGCCTCTCAGCCATGAGGTTGTCATTGTGTATCTTATGATATGATGAAACAATTTAAGAAGATATATATTAATGTTCGTCAGAGAAATAAAAACGTTATTTTTGTAGTACCCTCCACCCTCCTCCTCCTTTTAATCATGCATAGTTGTATCCTCCCTTTTAGAACGGTCATAATGATCATTCCAGTCCAGAGAGGAAGGAAGAGGATTATCCTGATGTGAATGTATTTAAAAGATCAAAAGACACTTCCTCTCTGGGATAGTAGTTAGTAAGTCCTGCCACAGATGGTCTATAACGTTGCAACAGGCTTTGTCTCGCTTTGCCCTCTCATCCACAGCGGCTGTGGGTAGAGAACACAGAGAAAGGTGTCCTAAATAGCACCCCTATTCCCTATAGTGGGCTGTAAAGTAGTGCACTATATAGTTAATAGGGTGCCATTTGGGACTTTTAACCTTGCTTTCGTAAAACTGGAATTACATGGTAGACCCCTGGAATCCTCCAAAGCAGAACATTTTGAAATAAGGTATTTAATAAGTGACATAAATCAATTTTATTTTCTAGATTCATGTTTTTATTTCTTTGTGATTGATTGACAGTGTTCGTGTGGATAGGCACTAAAACTAACCCCCTCTGTGTCTTGGATTGGCTTCTGCTTTCAGAGAAGTCTTCTAATACGTAGTAATAGTATAATTAAAGTCACCTAAAGCTATTTTTGTTGAAACGTAGTTCCATGGCTAGTTATCTTGTT